GTCTGCTGAGATAGGACCATTCTTCTAGATCTAAAAGTATGATCCAATTAGCGCGAAGGAAACTTCCAACAGTTGCAAAACGAACGTTCTGCTGAACGCAGCCAATGAGAGGGAATAGCGATAGCGATAGGAATAACATAATTTCAACCTATCAGAAACTGTGTATTCCGGTGTATCCGATTTCTGATAGATTGAAATCGTGTTATTCCTATAATGGGCTTTAAGCGGGGAGCACAGACTTTTGCATAACGCATAACATGTAATGCATAAGAAATTCAATCAATCAGAATTCTTTATTTCATGGAAAGGAAGGAAACGGAGGGCTTTGATTGGTACATTTTCTTATGCATTACGTGTTATGCGTTATGCAAGAGTCTGTGCTCCCCGCTTATCGCTATTCCCTCGCATTGTGTCTTGGGCTTAACTCTAGTCACGTGGCAGTTCTAAGTTCTTGACGTGCTTCACGACGGCGCACGCGTGACCTGAAACTCGCCACCTGGGGGCTGGAATTGATAGTTATTGACAGTTATGCGTGATTGTTGATTGTTCCGTGTTCGTTGATAGCTGTGTAGCCGAGGTTGACGGGCGACTCCTCGTGCATAGGTGTACTTTTTCTAATTTTATAGAGAATCTCGAATGCATCTCATGGCCTGTCCCGTAATGCCGGGACTCGTTGAGCCCGCACTCGCGGACACAGCAAAGTCGTGAGATTAAGTTCAACCAGGCAAGCTTCGATCGGCATGGGCGAGAATTTAGAATCTTTTGGGGACGAGACAGATTTTGCCGTGAAATACGACAAAGTCAGTTCGCTCACGAGGCACGATGTTCGTCTGCTCGAAGGTACAAACCAAGCCCAGGAACGTGTGACATTCCGTTTTGACGTGCATATGTCAGGTCAAATTGAACAGCTGTATTCAAAAAAAGTCATTTATTTCAGATAAATGTCAACGGTAAAAGAACTTGGTTCTTAAGCTGAAACGTTTAAGCAATGCTGTTTCCACAATTCTTTAGTCTCCACTATTATTTTCAGTATTGTTGTTAAATCAAGAAAAAAGTACTTGTGCGAGTTAAATGATTTCGTATTGCAGTATATTAAGTATATTATCTTGTATAGAATGTTAAAAGATATATGCTATTATTTCTTTTAACTCAAGTCTTTAAAGCATTTAGATTATTATCATAATTGATCATAATACATGTATAGTATACAGATAAGGACAAAAAATATATAAGAAAGAAAAAGATAGAAAGAGAAGGGGGAGAAAGAGAGACAGAAAATGTATTTGTATGATTCTCAAGTAATTCCTTATTGCAGTATATTAAGTGTATTATCTTATATAGTATGTTAAAAGATACATGCTGTTATTTCCTTTGGCTTTAAGTTTCTAAAGCATTTAGATTATCATAATTAATTGTAAAACACATGTAAAGAATAGAGATACCTATAAACAAAATATAATTCACATGATATATGTATATATATATATAGTTTCTGCTTAAGAGCATGATATTGAAAATGAGATTGCTATGTTAATAATATTACTGATGGTTTTTTTTATGAAATTATTCGTGTATAATAATTTAAAAGTCAGAGTTTCTTGCTATTGTTGATTAAGTTATAATAATGCTTATTTATATACAAATTAACACAAATTTATGACAGTGATAAATTAGACCATGGACAGTACATACTCCTTACTGTTGAATCTACTAAATTATTTTACATCTCTCTTTCTCTCTTTCCTAAGCTTATTAATTTCTGAAGAAAATGATAACAATGTATTTTTGCATCAGGAATGACAATACAGAATGACATTTCACAAGTTCGGAGTGATCACTGTAGAAGCAACATGTTTGAAAATAAAAGCAACCCAGCGTTGTCAAGAAAAAACGATGGAGAAATAAAACTAAATTGTTCAATGGACAACATCAACTCGTCTGTCACTTTTGAAGAGGATAAATCCATCAATGACATTCCTAATACAAAACTTCAAACTTGCCAATTGTCTAGCAGCGAGAGTTGCCTTTCATATGAAGATGATGAATCTCTTCGTAATTTATTTTCTCACTGTACAAGTGCTTCATTACCCGCGATATCATCTTTGGATTCGTACTTAGTAAAAAATAAAGCTAATGTGTTTCAAAAGGATATACATACACAGGAAAACGTAGTAAAAGCTTGCACTGATGAAGAAGACACATTATTTAATCGATTAAGCGAGATAAAAACTCCTTTATCCGATTCGCAATGTTCCTTAAACGAAAAGAGTATTAAAGCGTGTCAGAATGATCCAACAGAAGAGGAACAAGAGAAAGATTATCTTAAAGAAGAGATTTCAGAAAGTGATGTATCCGAAATGAAACAATTTGGTGAAGAAACGATAAATTCACGATTACAATTAAATGATAACAAGACTACAAATGAGCGAAATCAAGTCGAGGTAGACGTATGCAAGAAGAATGAATCGAATTCAACTGCGGTACCAAGTATTAACGCGCGAGGTTCAATTTCCCGACCGACATTGGCTGATGATAGCAAACTCGTAAAAATGTCTATTCTAACGAATCCAATGAATATAATGCAGTCGAACGTTCAGCTTTTAAATAAAAGCCGTAATTTTTTAAATTTCATCACGGAAAAGTCGACGAACATCATGGAAAAAGCTTTGCTGCCGCAGCATTTGGCGATGAAATACAATCACATATCGAAATCTGTCGAAAGTGATTCCTCGAGATTTTATACCTGCAGTAACGTATCTTCTTCGACTGACGTAATTCCTAGATTATATGTAAATTCAGCAACAAATCGGAATGATATGAGTTATACGGTAAAACAAAATTACAAGAGCGAAAATAATTTGGATACTGTAACAAATAATGAAAAAGAGGTAAATCCATCTCCATGTATGAAAGAAAATAAAATGTATGATGATTCTAGAGAACAGCTGTTATATAATAACATTATTGAGAATAAAGTAATGTTGGACGAGAAAATGTATCATGTACTTAAAAACAATGACGATAGATTAGATTGTGATGTAATCGATGAACAAGTAAAACGCGATGTATCGGGAGAAACGGATGAGAATAAAAGTTTTCTACAGACGGACGAGTTATGCGATGACGCATATAAGGAAGACTCGTCTGGTGTCGGTATTTTAGATTTAAATATTTTAAAACACAATTCATTAGAACATCCGTCGTATCTTGCTCTATCGGAGGATTACACCAGTTTAAAATTCAAACACTCAAAACTACTGGATAGAATGGAGTATTTAAAGAAATTAAATCGATCGAACAATTCGTTTCAAGAAACCGAAACAAATGCACTTACTACAGAAGCACTTATCTTACAAGTGGAGAACTTGCAGAAAACTGTAAATCAATTAACAGTCGACTTGAACACATCGCTCGAAACGCAAGAAGCTCTGAAGAAGGAATGCGCTGCGGTTAATAAAGAGAAAGAAAATATGGTTATGAGATATGTAACTAGCGAGAAACAATTGATTGATACGCAAAGGTAGTTATAAGATCAATTTAGGATTTAGGATTCTTTGACATTTTTTTAGGCATGATCAACAATAGTTTTAAAATTTCAAATATTGAGACAAAAATAATTTTAAAGCGTCATATATATTTCAAACTAATTAAAAAAAGAAAAGAAAGATTTTTTAAATTTCTCTTTGCACATTGTTGCTCTGTCATGTCTGTAAAGATTTAGAGCGCGAAAAAACCAGGGGGCGGGGTTGAGCTATTATATGTAACTGACCAGCTGACTGTAATTTACGATAAATTATTCATACATTAAATTATATCTGTATCATGAAGTTAGTTTAATTTGTGACGTATACAACACACAGAGCGAGGGATTCCACGGAATGTAAAGTTAAGAAACTTCTAAAGGATCAGGAATTATTACAAAACAAGTTGCGCCAAACGCAGGGTGAGCGCGCAAGAATATGTAATATTTTGGATGGAAAATGTCGTGAAGTAACTGATTTTCAAAAGGAAATAGAGAATTTAAAAGAGGATGTTAAATTGAAAGAGATTAAATTAAAATGGACGCAAACTAAACTTAAAACTGAAATGGAGTCACAAAAGGATACTCAACAAAAATTGGATAAAGCTTTGGTAAAGTAAAATACAATACGATTTTATTTTTCGCGTAATTTAAGTCATGCAAAGTAGTTTGAAAATTGTATTTTAATTACATGAATATCGTTGGATTTTTATTTTAGTCATAGATACTAGAAATATAAAAAAAGAATAAATTTTTTATTACTTTTTGATTGCTTTGGAAATTATTAATTGTTTACGATTACATTTTTAACATGAAATAAAATTTCGTAAAAATTATCCAATTTAATGATATAAATTATTTACAATTACAATTACAATTATTGTCGATCTTGGTAATCGCTTCAACTTGCGATTGCTAATCACCGTTAAAGAAATTTTAATGGAATGTCAATATTATTTATATTTAAAAAAAATATTTCTCAATTCTAATGGAATATCAATATTATTTATTAGATGTATGTTGCAGATGAAAATAAATGATATGAAAGAAGAGTGCGAGCAAATACGCCGCGAAACGCAGGAATCATTTCGTAAATTTCAGCAATCTGAAGAGAATAAAGCTGTGACATTAGATCAACAGCTGAAAGAGCATCAGGCGCGTTTGATTTTGGAAAGACATGTTACGGAAGATAAAGAAACGTTAAGGTTACAGTTGCAAAAGGAGCTTGAAACACTGAAATCTAAGCAACAAAACTTAATTGAAGAAAACAAGAAGCTTGGCCTAAAAATACAAGAGTCTGAGAAAGTTCGATTAAATAATGAAAATGATTTGAGTGATTTAAGAATTGTCGCGGATCAGCGTCAGCAACAAATTACCGAATTATTGGACAAAGTCTCCCACTTAGAAACATTAAAACTGCAATTGCAACAGTAAGTATATTGTACTATAGTTTCAATAATATATTTTATATATTAATATTTTATAAACGTATATAGTATCGAAAACATATATAAAATAATTTTACATATCCTATACAAAAATGTGATAATAATTGCATTAAAAATACAGTCACATCAAACCATCTTTTATCCATAGATTCTTGAACTTCTGAGTTTAAAACTATTATATGTATTTTTATAACTTTGAAAAATTTATAATGTGTGTTAAATGAAATTTTAGTGCTATTTAATAATTATTTTATAAAATATGATTTTGTTTTTACAGTAAAAAAGAGTGTATAGTATCGATTGAAGCAAAATTGTTGCAACTACAATCGGCTAACGAGGAATTGCAATCCGACATGCAGGCATGTCGCCAGAAGGAGGCAGATATGTTAGACTTTACGCAAAAACTGACAGATACGAACGTACGTCTTCAATCCGAGTTTACCGCGATTCAAACGGAGGCGAATCATCTTGAATCCGAACAAGGTCCGCTACGTGAACGTATTAATGAATTGACCAGTAGAGTCAAAACTTTAGAAGAAGATTTGATGCAAGAACGAAGAAAACGGAGAGAAGAGTGTGAGATTCTAGCTAAACATGTTGCCGAACAAACTAAACTCGCGCAGAACTTAGCCCAGAAGTTGGAGGATAGTCAGGGTGAAAATACGTTGTTAAAGAGGAAACATCAAACTTCCATAAAGGAATTGACACGGGAATTGCAACAATGTCATAAAAAATTAGAAATGTTGGAAACTACGTCTCCCAGTAATTCATTAGATATTGCATCCAGAACTGGATCTAACACTTCCTTAGCAGGTTTAATATTGATAGTATCTCATTCAATGTCTCATTCGTATCAATGAGTTGTTATAAATTTATATCATTGGATTATGACGTTGAAAGTATATTTTTTTCTTTAGGTGATACATCAAATGGTGCCTTATCAGACAACAATGCTAATAGTGATCATATTAACTCGATAGAACTTAATAAACAAGTATTGATGGAACGCATCATCAAACTGCAAGATATAAATGTAAAAAGAGCTGAAAAGTTAGATTTTTTCAAAGAACATACGCAGACGTTACTCGAAGATATACAGAAGAAAGAAAAAATAATACAACATTATATTTTACATCAAAACTTTGGAGCATTGACATGTAACAAGAGTGACAGATACAAGGTTTGTATATATACAAAAAATATTTTTTTTATTTAATTACATTTTATCGTATTCATACATGTAGAGAATAGATATGGTAAAACTAGTCTGTTTAAAAAAATCATTGTATTACTAAATCTAAAGCTAAATTTTTATAATAATAGATATTTTCGTTTTTTATATCCAAGCATATCAAAAGCCGAAGAGATATCGTAAGTGTCAGAAAACAGGTTTTTTAAGTTGTCAAACAAAATTAGTAATTAATTTATCTACACATACATAATATTTAACTTCATTTATATATATTCTAAACAAGCATACATATACTTGCAGGCAGAATTGGCACGACGTGGAGGTATAATGGCATCTGTTTACAATCATAGAGTTTCAGATGAGAATATGACTCTAGAACTTTCCTTGGAAATAAACCAAAAGTTACAAGCGCTTTACGAAGACGCATTACTAAAAAATATTACTTTAAAGGTAAATGTATCAAATAAAAATTATAATATAAATATGAAATGAAATTTAAAAATGTGATATATAATATTAAATGTGACTCATTGTATGTTAAAACATTTTTGGAGTATTCTATTCATATTTTGTACTAAAGATTTTTATGTATTTTCATCTAGTAAGTTAACAAATTTTTAGAGACATTTTTTATCTCTTGGAATTTAGTCTTAAAATTTCGTACTGTAATATATTTCGACTTGATTAAAACGAAGGAAATTATTTTTGCTCCAAAAAATGACTTATAAAATTGCTCAGTATTTTTTTTATTGTTTGAGATAGACAACGTTATTGAGACAATTTATCGTTATTTAATATAATGTTATTTTTCAGGAAAATATTGATACATTAGGTCAAGAAATAGCAAAATTAACAATGCAGCATCAACAAAAATAAATTGACAATTAATAATTAGTTATTATATATATAACTATGTATATATACACATAGACACATAACGTATACATAAATTATATATATATGTATATATATGTATATTACAGTATCATTTTATTTCAAATTGCATTTAAAAATATTTGTATTTATGTAGATTTATTTATTATGTCTAATTAAATGTTTATATATTACGTAGACACACACACACGCGCACGCACACACACATACACGTATTTATATTGCAAGCGAAACATATTTTTTGTTTCAATGCTTCAAGATAAATTCAGACAAACAAGATGTTTAACGTCAAAATATGTATTATAAAGTTGTTTAAAGAAAATGATAGTGTGTTTCATTTAGCCGAAATTAAATTGATTCCTCATATACTTAATGCTGGAAAAATAAATTTTATTATATAGAATAATTAAAAAAAAAAACAATTAAAATTAATATATTTTTGTTTCCTTTTTTTTTATCTATTTCAAGGAAAAGTATTGAAGGAAATGACAAAACAATAATACGCAAGAATCTGGTAAATAAAAGTTTATTTTGTAAGTTCAACTAGATTGTTTTAATTTCTAAATTACTTATATCTAGAGGCACTATAGTCAAGCTTAAAATCTAATCGACTACAAATTCATATTACACTCGACAGTTATAATACTTGATTTTTGCTCAGGATCTCGACCATAGTACATACTTGAGCGTATAATGAAGAGTTGTAATCGAAGTAAAATTGGCTACATTTAATAATATTTCTACAACTTACTTTGAGTGGTTTACTTTGGGTCTTTTTTTTATTCTTTAGGGAATGAACTATTATTACTGTGATATTCTAGATCATACTATACTATATCATATCATACTGTATGTGCGATAATAAAATGCAATTATATTCTGTACGTAAGATATTCGCAAACTCACGTTATGCTGGAAGAAGAGATCAAAAAGAAAAACAATACCTAGTCTTACCCTAATTTTATCATTATTTAATAAGGTACGCTATATTATAAATTCGAACTCGTTTTCCGTATTGCATATTTAACAATAAAATATCTGTCTTTCGACAGTAATTTTTAATACCTAAAAATGACAGTAGTAGGTTTAATACCTAAAAATGATCTATAATAGTTAAAATCACCTCGTTTCTTTTTTCAAGTATAATCAATAACATTGTTAAAATACTGCAAATAGTAATACTGATAACTAATGCCGCAATAATAGTAAGAACGCCGAGTTTTAATGCTTACATTACTTTGGGTGTCATATGTGATGATAGAGAGAATCTATAGAATAATAGATTACTGCCTGTTTTATGTCACATACTATTTTTTTATGGAATATTGCAGTGTTCTTGAACTTTAAATCATGCTCAATTTGTAAGTACACTTTTCTGTGCAAACAATAACATACGAGTGTAGAGGTTTATTCGCGTTGCAAGCTCCAATATGTTCCTACCATAGCTCCTCTTACTCACTCTATTAAGCGCGCTGGAGTAAGAGCTATGGTAGGAGCATATTGCAACATGTTGGAGCATGCAACACGACAAACATAAGATTTAGACAAATTTTAAAATCTTTCCATTCAACTTTTTTTTACATTTTCCTATTCTTTTGTTCTAGATAAGCGTCATTAGATAGATGTAAAAAAATTAAATATTTTCCTTTTTTTATGCGTAATCGTGCAATCCTTTCTGAGAAAATTATTATTTTCGCTAGTTTAAAAAATGTACTTCCAAAGCTCAAATCTACTTTCAAATCTGTAATTATCTGCATACTACTAAAATTAAAAAATAAGCATTAAGCGTTTTATGGTTGATTAATATACAAATAACATTGAAAAATATATAGCAAATTAGACAATAAACAAGCTGTTATAGCAAGATTGACGATAAATGTCTTTTCGCACGTTCTGTTGAATAAGGCGCAAGGAAGTAGAAGAGAATGAAAGAAAAATCGTTCAATATCTCGTGAATACATTTTCAATTGAATAATAAATTAAGACAATTCTTACAATAAATGAACAATTATTTTGTAAGTCATATCAGACAGTAATCTCAGATATTTCAGATAAAAAATAATACCTTATAAATTTCATAACGTAACTGCAGCACATTTACAATAAGCGGTAAGTTATAATTACGTGAATCATACATGCAAGGGAAGGTATCGCACTGCCCGTGTATGGACAAGATGTTTTAAAATTATGTGTTATAATATATACCCAGATAGCCAAGTATCTAGAAGGTAGCTTTTTTAAATGTCTGCTACACATTATGCCAACAAAATAGCAACAGAATTGTTACAGAATTAGATGTACGTTTGTTGACAGACTGCTAGAAAAAAACATAACAGAATCAGATAATGTTGGTAGGATCTACTCAGTTTCTGCCAACAATTTGCCTTCACATTATGTCGACAGGCAATGTTAACAGAACACAAGCTTAATGCGGACGCAGTTAATGGCAGACTACCGTCATTTTCTGCTCGAATCTGCTGACAGTCTGCTAGAAGACTGCAGACATTTTGCTATCTGGGTAGTTTTATTTTTCCATATGCAGAATATCCTCCAGTATACATGTATATACACATATAGTATAAACATATGTATACATCATGCTACACATATATATATATGCAAGTGCATATACATATACATATACATAAAACATACATATTTTATTAATATACATATATGTGTATTGAAAGGTATTCTCTGGAAAATAAAAAAAAATTATATTGATGAGGACGTATCGAAGCATTTTTTCTGTAGATAGTATGATACTTATTTGCATGACATAGCGCATATTAAATAATTCTTTCCACCTTCACTATTGAATACTTGACTATATTGTTATGTCGATGAAATGTATATTAGAAAACAGATGATGAGAAGACGAAGCAAAATTCATTGAGCTGTTGGTGCGTATTGCGCTTGGCACAAATACACGGTTGATATCACATAACGATTTCAATATACGTGAGCCAAACACTTTGTCGTCACACAATTTATTTTATGGAAACAAGAATCACACAGAAACGAAATAGAAATGGAATGTATCTCGGGTTTAAAAAAGTAAATTAGTAAGCTACTCCTTGGCGAAGTTTTCAAATGCTCCAATAATCTTAAAATAAAAATTCTTGTTAATATATCAGCTCATCATATTAATCGAGAAACGTAAAATATAAAAAAATTTTTAATGGGGTCGCCATAAAATCAATTGCGTGTGTGACATACGCTTAACAAAAGATTTGTTTGTCTTTTAGAAAATATTTAGCCGAAATAAGACCAGACTTATATTTTAACATGATTACCTAGACAATTCTAAAATAATACGGATTTTTTTGGCTTTTTCTTGCACATTAAACCATATTAAATAAGTTCTTTATGCAAAACTGGACCGACGCGGGCAGTGTGTCACTACGGCAGAATTGCACGATGTTAATACTGGCACAGTGAGGCAATGACCTTAGGATTCTCTCTAGATATACTATGAGTATACTTATTAACATATTTATCTGGAAAACTATGTAATCATTCACGTCACGTAAGTAATTATTATTGTGTTCTTCCTATACCACCAATCACTTGCATTGTTTAAAACTCCTGTACACGTATATTTAATATATACGTATAGAAAGAGTAATAACCAATCGTTACATTGAATTGGCTGCGGACAGACAGTTGCAATTTGACATACATATTAAAAAAGAATCCTAGTTTAGAAAGTCAGATAAAATCCTATCACAGGATCTAATAAAAAAATGCATGTGCTCTAAAATCATGATTCATTATTTATTGCCTCAAGTTTTTTATATGAGCATTCGACATTGCTGCTTTTTGCATGAAACTGAATGTAAAGGAACCAATTTTCGTGATTTTAGATTTTACTGCTCGCGAAGAATACAGTATAGTGTATTGTTTTAAAGAATATGATTTTTATAACAGTTATTTTCTTTTATTAAATGCAAAGGATGATTGTAATAGCAGTTACCATTTTCAATCATGCACCTTTTTTATAATTCTTTGATAAAAATTTATCTGATCAATATAAACTGGGTGCGTTCCGAGTTGCGCATAAAGCGCGTGATGTATCGTTTTATCCTTCTTTATTATTTGATGAACAACAAGGACAAATAATGCATCATGCGCTTCATGCGTAAATCGGAACGCATCCTAGGATTGTATAACAAAACATACGAATACCTATTATGATCCTAATATTGAATACTTGCAATGCGTTCTTAATTCACTGTAAATATTTTTGCGCAATACCCATGCAATAATCTTCGCTGTAAACATCGGAAGGTAATCATTGAAGTTATATTTCCGAATAGTACAGCAGAAATAATATTTCCGATTCTAGCAAGAATAATAATAGATAAACAAAATTATAAATTGCTATTGTAATAAAAAGTTGTAATTATGCAAACCAAACATTCATGAGAAATTCTGTCCTGCCATTTTCGCCGAATTTTGCAATTACTTTTTACGATCAAGATCATTTGTCAGATCTGAATCCAATCACAGCCGTTGAAGATGCAAAGTGCAACTTAATTCGTTGCTACGATACCTAATGCCCTACAAAAAGATCCCAGATAGCATTTCGTGTGAACTCAGGAATAATAAAATTCTGAGTTTCGGATACTTCGAGATAGAAATATGCAAGATCGTGATTGACGCCGCTAATTTGCCTGCACACTTACGCAAGGATATGTTCATAGTATATGATACATGGATGTTCGTGTCACACGTGCGTATAAGTGTTAAATGCATTACACTAGACGACAAATTATAATTTTGTTATAAAAAAAAATTGCAATTACTTGTAAAATTTACGTATGTCTGACATAGAATGTTATCTGGGGACGTCGTAGGTACAATGCCTATTTAAGACACTAATGTTTGCCTCTTAAAGCTATTTCGAATTCAAAACTATATATTCGAAATTATGACCAATTAGCCATATAGTTTATGCAAGTATATCATTGGACAAAGAGTAAAATGCAGGAATGTCGATAACATGACAAAATTTTCTTGCTGATAAAAAGATTAGATTTATCAAATATGTCCTTTCAGCTGTTTCATATAGTGCAGCAAAATTAGAAAGGTCATGAGAAGCAATACGTTATAAGTTATGCTAATATTACGAAATTCCGCATAGATATGTGCTGAATCGACTTTTTGTCAACAATATTTATTGCTATTAATAAGTCAAAATAATGCAAGTTTTGATGCAAATCTTCCTATCGACTACACCGTACACAACGAAATTATTAATAATTATCGATAATTCGTAATACATTCTGAACACGGTAAATATATCGAGATCATAGGGCGCAAAAGAACACATGCACGAGATCCTACGATTTATGCTTTACTGATACCAAATTCTGCCATATCATGACACGCCGAACGAGCGATCTATTTTGCACTAGGAACTACATATCCGACAAGTGGACTTTTTGCATTTTTTGTTAGACTACTGTTACTCTGATTTAGTCAGATATCGATATAGAACTCGTCCTGTTCTTGTGGCTTTTTCACCCAAGTTCCAAGCTGTGCTTTCGTGAAAGCATCCTTCAATTGAGTCTTGGCAAGCTATCCAAGAAAAAAGACAAGATATGCTACATAACAGTGCATGAAATATAAAATATAACAAACAATATTTCATACATATTGTTATGTATTGTTATTAATATCAAAGATGTAATTACTTACAGAATAATCTTGTGCTAAAGATTTTGCATCCAAGTACAAGCGACAACCTTCTTCGTCAACATTGTCTATAGTCGGAAGATTACGTAAAAGATTAAAGAACCGTTTAAAGAATGCTTGTTTACATAACCTAGAAGGTTTCCCCACTTCATCTTTGCCAGTTGTACAACTTAGGACTTCGGCTTCGTTTTGTCCTGAGGTAATAAAAAATATATATATTCGTTAAATTATTTTACATATTTCTTTCTATGAGAGATTAAGAATATGTACAAACCGAGTGTCCAATTGACGCTGTAATTAGGCGCTTTTCCAGGTTGTCTGATCTCATTAGATGTAATTAGACTCATTAAAGGTTTATTAAGTCTATATGGCGGTGGTAAACCCTGAATAGTGTTCTCAATGCGACCGCATATCGCTCTGTACATATGACTCGGATTTAAGAGACTGCCAAGGACAATGCTGTGGAAGTAAATTGGCTCGATGAAGTGGCTTAAGAGTGCACCTTGCACACCAAGTACGTTCCACCGAGCTATTTTGTCCGAACACGACATTGTCAGCAGTCTTGTACCCTTTAAATTAGATTTTAAAGTAAAACATCGATAAAAAGTAGTCTGAATATTTTTTCGCAATGTTCTGCAATGTATGATTGCCTTTAACACAAACAATACATACTGCGATTACACCATCCCAGGTTTGAATACCCTCATTACTCTTCACAGGAATAGTCCCTTCACCAGATTCTATCTTCGTACGTAATTGACCTCTAGCTCGTCTATTGGGATGCTTGTCTATAGCATCGTTCTCTTCGTGAGGTGAGAAAATTCTCGCATCACCACAAGGAGCGGTATTTATATATAAATGAAATCGGATGCCCTGCTTCAGTTTGAATCCATTTTTGGTTGGTTCAAGGATAGAGTCGGCATTGTTTTCATTTCCGATGTGCAAATCTAGCTGATTGTAAAGATATTCACAGAGACATCGTCGTGCTATTACTTCCGCATGACAATCATTTATACCACTACCGCTTCGGCTTAAATGCTCGCCTGAGATGCATTTTGTACCTTTTACAAAAAAAAATGTATATATTTTAGTAAATACTTCACAGATAATCCAAGATTTTTGTTTAAATATTGTAGAAATAAAATAAATTTATAGCTTACCGGTGGCAACACATATTAATTCTGCGTCTTGCCCTTTCGTTATTACAACACCAGCCAAAACTTTACGTCGTGCGTGTTGCGGTTTGGTTACCATGAGTTCACTAAATTTCTGATTAACCATCTTGCCAATTTGGTCAGCTAGCATTTGCGGTAAAGACATTTCTGGAGAGGGAAAGTTGATTCGAACAGGATATGATAAACAAAATGAAGAACTATGGACGTTTCGCAATTTTGCTAAAGCGGCTTTACTGGCTGCGGCTTTTGCCAGTTTCTTACTTGGGCCCGTTCCTTCGAATGTCTCACCATTAATTGTTACAGATATAGTAAACTTTGCATAACTTTCTCCGTTATCGGATATACAGTTATATACAACGCCCGGATATAATTCATTAATCAATGCCACTGGACCTTTATCTAAAAACTTATTAGTATTCTTTGGCTCCTGCGTTAATGTTTTAAATGCATTGACAAGATGGTTATCACGTTCAGTCACGTCGCTCGTAAAATCTGGCTCAAGAGGCACAACAGGCTGGCAAGTATTGATAGCTTGGTGAACCTCAGGTGTATTTCTAAACTGGACAATATTTCGTAAAGCAAGTTCCGCGGCTGCATGCTTTGCCATCTTTTTGGTGCGTCCTTTTCCTTCGTACGTTTGACCATCAATTTGTACCGCAATCGTGAATATTGGAGCGTGTGTGGGTCCAGTTTGTCCCACAACAGTGTATGTAGCTCCGGTTTTTAACTCGTTTAATGCGCATACAGCGTTTTTTGGTTGTGGATTTTTATGACGCTTTTTAGCGCTGATAATATCTGATTAAATAACAAATTAAAGTTTATTACTTCTGTGTTATCAAATAAATACTAAACATTAAATATACAAAGGAACACATAGCCTGGTCATAAATATAAAACATCTTCAATTAATTTTATTTTTTTGGAAAAGGCGGTAGTAAAAAACAAATGAGAATTAACGAAATATTAAAAAATTGTTATAAAAATATTATTTTTCAATAAAACTATTCTCTAATTTATTTTTCGTTACACATAGGGCATTCACGTCAATTTATGGGGATGATTTATATTTACAACAAAGGCTGTAGAAAATTCTAAATATTTTATGAAATTTTTGATATATACACGTAAAAAGTAAAAACCTACCTTCTAAATCTACTTCTGAAGCTCTCTTGAGAACTTGAGATTTGGGTAAATTTCCTTGTCCCATCTGCAAAATAAAGCTATGAAAACAACTGTGACACTATACTGGATTATTTTACTCTCTGCAGTCTTTGATTTATCATTATCAGTATGAGAAATCGGAAAAGAAACTTGTAATTTTTTGTTGTTAAAAGTTTTAATATCATTCCAATTTTTTAATTCTGCTAGTCTGTTTAGGTTTATTTGATCCAAAATAATTTGTTTTCTTAATATTTCATTAAAAATATTTATTATAGTATTTATACCAGTTTGAAAATATCTGATATTCTTTTTGTGACTCAATTCTAATAAATAAATAAATAAATAAATAAATATCTTTTTACATTTCCCTTTCAAAACTGTAATGCAAGAAGTAAATATTTATCTAATCTAGTACATATCATTCTTTTCAATTTAATTTCATGCTTTGTTTAATAAATATAATAACAAAGAACCGACAGGTAGGTGTAAGCGTCTCAAGACACAATGGCCCGAATTCAGAAAGCATTTACAACAACGTTAGCGAATAACATACTATATTTTACGTTATGCATATTATAGAATTTCAGAGATAAAAGCACGTTCTGAATACGGGTCAAAATCTTTTATCTCAAGGTACTTTCTGTACACAAATTTTTATCTTAAGTATTGACAGAAATGAGCCAACTTGATTTATGCTGTTTAATTTTGTTATAAATTAGTTAAAATCATCTCTATAATAAAATTGTATCTTCTCTGTTAGTAAGTCAACACCTTGCATTGTTTCACCAGAAATAAGAGAGAAAGCTTTACTAGAGTAAAAGTATGACGACTTAAAAATGTGTATAGAATAGCATTTTTATATTTACTAGAGATAAAAATGCCATCCTATATATTTTTAATTCATCTTGTTCCAAGTTAAAAAAAAATTTCTATTCGAATCAAAGTTTACAAAAATTTTTACTTTCTCTTATTTTTGGTGAAGAAAAAAAAATTGAACGAACATAATCAAATTAAATCCTACAAAAATCTCTAATCAGCTATTGCAGACCACTTTGAGCAAATCTGTCAAGTCAACTTACTCTCTTATTTCTGATAAAAAAAAAGTTGTTTAAAGGAATGTATTGGAATTAAAGCCTATAAAAGTTTCTACTTAACTAAATATCACAGACTACTTTGATCAAATCTGTTAAGTCAGCTTTCTCTCGTATTTCTGATGACAACGCCAGCCAGGTGTTCACTAACAGGTGAGAAGATGGCATGCTTTACGTTAGGAATTATTAAATTCGTCTCGATTTACCTGCGCCGCATGACCGCTCGGCGAGTTCTCCGACAGTGTATTACCGTTAGCAGGAGTCATGGACGCGCCGCATTCTGAAAATAAGAAAATTAATGTGAGGCGTATGAACACACGATGGTATTCACTGCGAGTGCATCGCGGGGAAAATCAATAGAGCCATCTCGTACTTGTCGGAGTCGATTGTTGGTTGTTGTTCAACAATGCCAGCCCGTTCGACATGATGCCGTCTCTCACTCGGGAGGAGAAGATACCTCTGGATTAAACACAGGTGGATGAATCGTGCGTTCACACGTGTGACCGCGTGTCAGTACGAATAAACACTCCGCGTCGGTTATTCTGGCATCCCGAAAATCCGCAGCGCCATTGTCGTTTTTTTTCGCATAATCGACCTAACCTGATCCCCCAGAGAGATGGCCCCGCCACTGATATCCGTATCGTCGCCGTCGAGAAAACGTCACGAACGCCTCGTTTTCACTCACTTCGCTTCGTCGAATCGATCTTTCCGTATATCGAAGGGCGCGCTTCGAAAATCTTTGAAAACGATGAATGCGTGCGATCACTACGATTCTTATTCGATTACTCTACGAGACTTCCGTGAGTTCCGTATGTATTCACGTCAACCGCATAAATGGCGTTTTTCGAGCGCTGCTGCCGAGTGCCGAGCCTGCGAGCACTCTATAGAATCTCTACCGAGCGCAAATGTGCGCAGGAGTGGGGAGAGGAAATCGGAGAAAAGGGCGAAAGAGGAAGATGGAATTGAGACGAGTAATTCGAAATTCTGAAAAGAGATATTTTTCCTGAAACGAGGTAACTGTGCGTCGGAAAAAAAAAAAGAAAAAAAACCGATCGTGCTCTCAGAATTTCAAAACCGATCGCGAAAATAGAATACGTTCGACTCCGTCTCGCGACGATTTTCTATTATTCGATTACATGCATGTGATATACCTGACGTGACACGTATATTGCTTTTTTCTTGACATTTCCTACTTTTTTCTCTCCCTTCATTCGATGAGCCGATGCAAATTTAGCGTCACGTCCGCTGCACGAGACACAGCAAACGTTAAAAACTATACACAGAAAATACATACTGTACGCAAAGATAAACTTTTGTTTTAAATATTTAAAAGTATCCGCAAACCCATCGTAAGTTCATCACAAGCAACAAATTTATGCAAAATATTATATATTTTTAATCTTAATAAATTTAATACTTCAATCAAGATTATTTAATTAAAACAAACTCGATTTATACTTATTATATAAAATCACTTCTTCAATCAATTTTATATCTTTATAACATTCAAAAAAGAAATAAATTCTTAGTTTGAATACATATTGATGAGTTCTGTTAAAATTTGTAATAAGTATATTCCAAGATTATTATGAAGAAAACATTCTTTTGTTAAAGATAATTGAAAGATAAAAAAAGAAAATTAATTGAGTAATTACTTTTCTTAACAATAGAATGATATTTTTCTGTGTACTAAGCTCGATTCATTCACACACAACTTGCGCAGCATTTATACAAAGAGATCTGATCTATTCTTATAGAAATCCAAAATAAAATAAGGGAGAAATGATTCTAGAACATCCTAGAATTCTAAAAATTCTAGAATTCTAAAATTTTAGATTAAATAAAGTATCACGATACATATTTCATTTTCTTTATAATATTTTTTTATATTTTTCAGTTGAAAAATTTATAAGTCGACTAGACTTCAACTATTCAATTTTATTCCATACACTTTTCTATTTAGCAAAAGTCGAGCAAAATTTCGATATCTTTTAATTATTCTTGTCCGTCATTTAATTCTAGCCAATTTAATATTGGAAACGTTCGACGAACCAATGCAAATTTAACGTCATGTCCGCATAAAACGCTGCGAACATTAAAAGCTAAGCCAAGCTCATCCAATCTCGGCTCGATCACACACTTGTACAGTATATGGTCAAAAAGTCTGATCTACTCTTACAGAAATTTAATACTGACCAATTTAATACTGTTATTTATTTCGAGTATTAAAAATACTAAACAGTGTTTTTAATGTTCAAAATAAATAATTGTAATCAGTACCTTGACGTACAAATTAATGGCGAATTCGATTGGAAGCACTAGTACGCACTGGTGCATATTAAAGCCGTTGTACACTGATTTAATTTGAGTATAAAAATGAAATACAAATATTTAAAATTATGAAATACATATTTTACCTAATAGTACAATAAAATATACTGAGTATTTCATGATTTGATCGATTTCTATGTTTATTTATAAACATTTCTTTACGTTATTTTATGTACAACGGCTTTAATTGCACTAGTGCGCAGTGAGTGCGTCCAATCGAATTCGCTATAAGTAATATGTGCAGCATTTCGTGCAGTGGACATGACGCTAAATTTACATCGACCCGTCGAATGTTTTGAATACTGCATGCAATTTTCCAGTACTTTTTGTAAGATTGATTTGGCAAGCATTCTAGAATTTTAAATTCTAAATTAAATATCATAAAACATTTTCTATTTATTATTTCATTTTCTTTATTTTTTTAATATACTTTTTTTTTATTTAGCGTCCATTTAACCTGAATGTATCTGCACTAAGATTCTTTAACTCTTAATCGATAATATCGATATCTACTGATATATTATCCTTGTGTAGCTTTTTTTCTTTTTATATAATATAATGTTATATATTTTATATAATATATAATATTATCTGCGCAACACGATAATATAACGATACCAACATTGCCGTTAAGAGTTACAAAATTTCAAAGCTGAGAAAGTATTTTGTATCTATCTGAACCCTAATTGAGAAATATGGTATCTATTGTTCTCAACAAAAGGTATATTCATTCTCTTCTGCTTATTCGAGACAGCGTGGCGCCGGATGGTGCGGCGTCTTAAAAGACTTCTAGAAAAGGCGACTTGTAGAAAATTCGTTCATTTTTTGTAAAGAATTTTCATTTTATCAATTTATTTTGCTTCCTTTAATCGCTAGTCGCCGAATCGCAGCATCGTATTAAAAATTAAGAGAGCATTATAATACTGCAATTAACAGTATCTTTGTTATCTACGTTTTTAAACTATACAAATGAAAAATTAATGTGAGACTGTGAACACAGTGCTCTTTTTATTTTTTGCATTTCTACACGCGAAAGTTTCTATTTCTCATAACAAAAATTATTATAAAATAATAATGTTTAAATTAAATAATTATAATATAATAAAAGAAAAACAAAGATTCTAAAACGTTCTAAAAAGTTCTAGAATTCTAGATTAAAAAATATTACAACATATTTTCGGTTTCATTTTCTTTATACTTTTTTAATACTTTTTTAATACTTTTCAGTTGAAAAATTTACTTTATTATTTAAAGTCGATCGAACTTCAACTATTCAATTTTATTTCATACACTTCTACTTAGCAAAAGCCGAAAAATTTCGATATCTTTTAATTATTCTTATCCGTCGTTTCACTCAATTATGTCTTCTGGATATTACAATATCCAGAATTAGAATATTAATTATATCATTAACGAAAAATCTCTCACTTACTATATAACATTTCGTATTTTTTCACTATAACTTCAACGTAAACAGTATCTCGCACACCACGTCGCACGATCTCGTTGTAGCCGATAGAGAGAATGTCCGGGTCGTCAGCGAAGAGTCTCCGATTGAAGCACTTGACGATCATCCGCAGATCCAGGTGATTGATCAGGAGTGTTAACTTCTTTAGCAAGCCCTTGCGGGAGAGTTGGTGTAAATGCGCACGCCACGTGACATTACACACGTGGTAGAGGCGCGTCGAACGTTGCACTACTATGCGTGTTATCATGATTACAATTTCATAGAGATCCTTCCTTACAAGTTTACTCATCTCACAAACACGTCTCGAAACCGGAAATAATAACTTTAATAGTCGAGCGGGGTGAACGTATATATCTCAACAAACTATTACATGAACAAGCGTTTTCACTCAACGATAACAGTCGCGGAACAGTAAAGCGTTTATCTTAAATTAATTTAAAAAAAATGATTGCTCGCGCGATAACGATAACGACAAATTGATACGATTCACCTGCCTGACACCCGGAATGTAAAAATCACATCAATTTGTCACTACTGTTACGGCAAATGAGACCTCTCCCATCGATACGTTCACCGTCAGACGTTCATGTGTAAGCGCAGATCTATCACGCATCGTTTGGGGAAGGCGATAAGGGTCTCGTGAGAGAGCAATGTAAACATATTTATCCACCTTTATTTCTAAACAGTACGCTTACTTCAATAGCAGTCTATATACGTACCAATCTTACGCGTCTCAAGAGTGTACAAGTTCAAGGAGATATGAAGTAAATTTACAGCGTCTTCTTCTTTTTAATACAAATTAATTTTCGACGAGAAGTATTTTTTTTGGTAAGAACTCTCGCACTGTATCCTTTGAATGTCCGAGACATACTGAGCTGAGAAACGTACTGAGAACATATGTAACCGTAAAATCTGTCTTTTATCTATACGATGTTCTTCTTGCATTAGACTTCAAACTTTCCTTTTTTGCTTTCATCAAATTTCAAATAGGTATACGGTAGAATTTTCTTTCTTTACTAAATTTCATTTTAGGGAGCACATAACAAATTCATCACAAAAGAAATACCTATAGATTTTCAATACTAGTCCTTTGCATTCCGAAATATTATACCTGAATCAATAGAAAAACATTCTTGTACTTTATGCTTCTTCTTTGTTAAAATTTACTAAAAATAAGACCGAGGTCGTTCAAGAGTATTGTTTGAAAAGAAAAAAAAGAGAGTTACATGCAAACGCTATTTACAAATTTATAACATCGTCCTAGTGAAAATTGTGATCTTTACACTTTTTTAAAATTTCGAATTGAATATCAAGAATATTTTATAACTTTTCGAATTTTTCATAAATTTTTTCTACGATATTTTTTTTAATGAATTAGAATTGATCCCCATTAGAATAATGATATGGTCCAGTTTTTATCATGACTAATAGTGAACTTTGTTCTTTGTTTTTCGTCATGAATTTACCGACATTCTTTAAATAAAGATTGTAAATATCATAGGATTAATCGAACTATTTGTAAATTGTTAATTTTGAAATTAAAAATCTGTTTTTTTGTGGCTGAATTAATTACACTTGTATATTAATTCAAAATTGAGAATTTCAAGAAATAAAATTCTATGTTAGATGAAGCTTTAATTTATACTTTATTTCTAAAAGAAACTTTCTAAAATTTCTGGAAGGGAATTTTACTTTTGATGTTATTGTACATTGATAAATTTCATATCTTTTCTTCTGTCTTTGTTATCTCATTCTTACGCGCATTCTTATTCCTCACGTTATTTTTTTTACGTGAAAAAGAGAAAAAATGTAAAATGGACATTTAGATAAAGGATTGAAAGAATCTGATTAATTACACCCTATTTTAATTGCTATATTTTGATGCATCGTATTGATGTATCATTAGACGAAATATTTGAATAAACTAACGATTTTCGCATTATCATTCTTTTAGAATGAGGTCTGATAAGTTTCACCACAAATACTTTGAAGCATTTTTTTAATCAATCATCAAAAAAAGAA